CACTTTGCTGAAGGTGTTTATCAGCTGAAGAAGTTCTCTGGTTGAATTTTTGGGGTCACTCATGTATACAATTAAAAATGGGGAACAGAGCTAAACAGAGAATTCTCTGTAGAGGAATATAGAATGGCAGAGAAACACTTAAAGAAATGCTCAGCGTCATTAGCCATTAGGGAAATGCAAATCAAAACGACCCTGAGATTTCACCTTACACCCATCAGAATGGCCAAGATGAAAAACTCAAGTGACAACACATGCTGGAGAGGTTGTGGAGAAAGGGGAACCCTCCTCCATTGCTGGTGGGAATGTAAACTGGTACAACCACTTTGGAAGTCAATCTGGCGCTTTCTCAGGCAATTAGGAATAGTGCTTCCTCAAGACCCAGCTATACCACTGCTAGGCATATACCCAAAATTTGCTCAAGTACGCAATAAGGACATTTGCTCAACCATGTTTGTAGCAGCTTTATTTGTAATAGCCAATACCTGGAAACAACCCAGATGTCCATCAACCGAGGAATGGGTACAGAAATTGTGGTATTTTTACACAATGGAATACTACTCAGCAATCAAAAAAGAGGAAATCATGAAATTTGCAGGCAAATGGTGGGATCTAGAAAAGATCATTCTGAGTGAAGTATCCCAGAAGGAGAAAGGCAAACATGGAATATACTTGCTTATATAGACCTAAAAGATATGATAAACATAATGAAATCTATACACCTAAAGAAGATAATCAAGAAAGCAGACACAAGGTATGATGATCAATCCTCATTTAGAAAGACAAATGGGATATGCATTGAACATATGACAGGAGTCTACTGCAGAAAGCATCTGAAAGACTCTACCTAGCAGTGTTCCAAAGTAGATACTAAGACTCATAACCAAACCTTCGGCAGAGTGTAGGGAATCATATGAAAGAAGGGGAGTTTGATGTAGAAAGGATAGGAGCTCCACAAGGACCAAACATATCTGGGCACAGGGTCTTTTCTGAGATGGACACTCAACCAAAGACCATGAGAGGATAAAACCTAGAACCTCTTCTTGGATATGACTTGTGATAGGTCAGTAATCAATTGGTTTCCCATAGTAAGGGGAACAAGGACTATTTCTAACAGGAACTCAATGACTGGCTCTTTGACCTCCCCACCTCCCAAGGGAGGAGCAGTACTGTTAGGCCACAGAGGAGGACTTTGCAGCCAGTCCTGAAAATACCTGACAAAAAGGAGTCATATGAAAGGGGAGGAGGTCCTCCCCTATCAGTGGACTTGGAAAGGGGCAGGGAGGAGATGAGGAAGGGAGGGTGGGATTGGGGAGGGAATGAGGGATACAGCTGGGATACAGAATTAACAAAATGTAACTAATGAGAATAATAAAAAAAAAGAAAAGAAAAAAATCATCTCAAATCTTTTTGAGGTAGTATTAAGGGTACTCTCTATATTTTATCAGCCCATAAATGAACAGCATGAAAGTATATGTAAGTTTCTACTTAAAGAGACTGTTAATATTCCTGAACTGACTTATTTTAGAATAACTAATTAAAAATAAAGGAAAATGTGAAATTGTTATTCTGAAAACAAACCAAAGAGACTTTAGTCATTCTTGATTTAAGGCATGAAGGAAATATATTTTATAATCTCTATTTGTATTAAACAAGATTCTAGAAGGCCTGGATAAGATCTTTCTGAACATTCTACAGTGTATAGTGAGACCCTGTGAGGCAGCAATATAAGTCTAAAGAGCTGCATCCCATGAAAACGAGCTCTTGGTAGGTGACGGGTACACTAAGGATGAGGTGTACCCTTGAGTGAACTTTGATACCCCCACCCTTTCTCCTGTTAGCTCAAGGAACTCTGGTGGGGATCTGCTATGACCACAGAACCTTTTCTTTCCACCTTAATGTTCTAGTCACAATATAGCATTGGGATCTTCCTGTAAGCTTCTGCTCTATGTAGGACATAAGTCCCTCTTTCCACCTTTGATTGTTCTGCCCTTAGGAAAGAAGGAGTAACTGGTGAGAGCCTTGGGGCTTGACCCCATTTCTCTACTAGGTAATGTTGAGTGTTCTTGGTATGCCAGTCAGCCATGAAATGTGCAGACATTTCGTGAAGCAGTCTCCTTGCTCTAGGCAGATCAGAGGGTCATGCCTTTACTCTGTCTTCACTGTTTGATTAGAGAGATTTGTAAGCCTTTGTGCAGCTGGCTGGGTTGGGGTATCACATGGGTGGTGGTCCTTTGGTTTCTTTCAGGAATAAGTCTGCTTGTTAAGCTCTTCAATTTTACTATTAGTAAAGTATATACATTGATTGTCATTTGACTTTATTGGTGAGAGGATAAAACATGGAGATAGAAAGCGCCTTCTTCCTTATCATCTAGGGCACAGTGACTGCTGCCATTTCCTTCAGTTCTCTATGTTCATGTGCATTAGTCTGCACCTCCCCATCAACATGGGAGAAATGCCATGAAGATGGTGATAAGCCATCTTCACACAAGTAGTCAGATTTGCATTCCTATGTTACTCTCACTTGCTTAAAAAGAAAGAGCTTAGCCACATTAGGAATGATGAGAACAGATACCTCAGATCCATGGACCATGGCTGCATGCATCTCTGGAGAGCTATGACTATGATCCAACACAATTCAGAACTAACAGCATCATATCACAGTGTCAATGATTGGGCATTCCTGGATTAGAGATCTAGGTGCCTGGGTGACTGTCCTCAGGTATGAAGGCCACAGAATAAGCAGCAGCAGAAGGCAGATAAAAGAAGTCAACTGCGTTACTTCAGATGGAATTTCCTTCACCCTAGAGGTCTCTGTAGAATCTGAATGGCAGCTAGCTAGGATGCTTAGAAGGATCAAGGTGCAGAATTAAGGGTCCACAGATCTACTTTCAGTGTGGTTCTGGGATAGTTCTATTAGTTGGGCAATCACTGATTCATAAACTAGAGCAACAACCACATGGTGGATGATTTTCATTAACTTCACAATAATATATATGATATCTTTGGAGTTAAAACCAAGAAATAATTAGTAAACATTGTGTGACTATGATAATGGAAGAGAACATTACCTGTCTGGAGAAAGACTCTGGAAATTATTGTCCGGCACAGCGGGCAGGGAGTGCTGGAGGGGTTGTCTCTGGCCAGAGTCCGCAGACAGGGCTCGCAGAAGATGTGGTGGCAAGGGTGGCACATGTAGGGGTTGAAGTACACGTCCAGGCACACGGCGCAGATGTAGCTGTCCTTCTCCTCTGTGTACTCAGCCTCGTCATCTGTGCTCATCTCATTGCTCAGAGTCTGCACAACACAGTGAAAACAGTTTCCCTAGTTTAGTATGAGATTCATTTCCCCGAGGGAGGGTGACTTTATATTCTGTTAAAATTAAAATATTTATGAGATGCACATGGTGTCTGTTTCTGTAACATGTTCCAAGTGACAGAAATGTGATCTGTTAAAGTGTGGAAACACAGAAAATATAGGAAAATCCCAGTAGCTTCAATTATTCCCTAATATTTCTACATAAAACTAAATGCTAAACCATAGTAAGTGTATTAAGAATACCTGTGATTCCAACTAGCACTAGTTAACTGTTATGTCAGCCCACGGAGATTACAAATCTCCCCACTCCCAACCAAAATGTGACTGTCATCGGTTATAGAATATTACCATGACATCTTCTCATGGTGCCCATCAGACTCTCTTCCCTCACACCGTACCTGGAGCACTTCATGTTCTACACCTTGCATCTTTCTGGGCCTCAACTACAAAAAAGTATCGAAGTTAAGGAAGTTAAGGGGATGTTGGGAGGGAGAGTTGGTAAAGCAATGTAGGGTGATTACGGGATTAGCTTTGTGGCTAGAAAATATGAGGAACCTCTTCTCTTCCCACATGTAATAGTTGGGGAGAGGCAGCATGAAGTGTGGTAGGAGAGTTCCTATTGTTTAACCTCTGAGTTACCCAATCTGTAAAGCTGTGCGGATTAAACCAGGTGATCCACTGCAAACACTTAGCTCAGACATATTTAATAGATATTAACCATGGCCACCTCTTCCTCATCTGCTTTGTATCATCTTCTCTCACCCCAGACTCTACTTTCTTCTGAGGCTTGGGGAAAGTTTTCTTAAGCTAGGAGATATTCAGGGCAAAGTAATCAAAATTGACTTCTTTTCTCCTCACAGGGACAAGATCAGTGAATAATGCTTAAATTGACCTTGGGTTTATTAAGTAGCTGTATTATATAAGAAGATATTGATATATACAGAAAACAGAAGCTTGAGATACAGACAGAAACCAACAACCAATACGTCTATTATGTTTTGAATGCTCATCTCCTGAAAGCTTCTACTTAACCTTAACTCCCCAGTGCAACAGCATGAAGAGGAAAGGTGTAGGTGATGAAGTCATGGGGCAGAGCTCTCAGGAGCAGGATGCCCATAATAGAATGCCCATTTCTTATGGATAGCAATAAATAAAAGGCCTAGTTTCTGACTTCTAGGTAGGTAAGAGGTATCATTGGTATCTACTAGGAGAAACCACTACTCAGTTCCACCTTCAACAAAAATCTATCAGCTGGCTACAGAAACACCAAATTCAGCTCCTCCTAAGCCACACTGTATTACATGTCATGCACAAAATTTAAATATGTTCATTGGTCTTATCATTGTTTTATAACAATTATGGTCTTCTTCCCCTGTCTTATTCCTTATCCTATTTCTTTGCAGCAGAAAAACATGCATATAACAACCAATGGGTTCCCTAGTAAGGGGAACAGGGGCTGTCTTTGACATGAACTCACTGGCTGGCTCTTTGATCAGCTCCCCCTGAGGTGAGGGGGTACTCTTGCCAGGCCTCTGAGAAAGACAAAGCAGCCAGTCCTGATGAGACCTGATAGGCCAGGGTCAGATGGAAGGGTGGACTGAAGGAGGGGCATGGGAAGAGAAGAGGGAGGGAGGTAGGATTGGGAGGGGATGAGGTAGTGGGCTACAGCTGGGATGCAAGGTGAATAAATTGTAATAAATTAAAAAATAAATTTAATGAAAAAAAACAATGTGATTTTGTTGTTGTTGTTATTGTGGGTAGTGATTTTGTTTGTTTGTTTTTGTTATATTATTTTTAATCCATGACCTCTCTTCTCTATTCTGGAAGAAGCAGATAATGTTTTGCTGTCCAAGGAATGTTTAATACACAGTATACAGATAACAAATGAGTTAAACTGGTATACTTTTTGGCATTCAATTTTCAAAGTGTATGATTCTCACCTCAAGTGATGGATTTGGAATCTCTGTCAGGCTCCTCCTGTCCTTGTCCCCTTGCACTAAACACACACTAGATAAATATGGTGTAGGGTTATGGTAGGACATTGCACTCAATACATACTATGGTTATAGCAAAACATTGGTAGATCTCTACCTGAGCATCATCATCCCTCTGCTAGGTCTAAGCTGTTCAGAATTGTGTAGGCAAGGAAAGCCCAAACAGTGCCATTTTTATAATACAGAGAAAGCAAGGCTTCAGAACACTTTCATGCTTAAGGCAGTACAGTACAATAGAGGACAGTACAGAGCCATCATTGACTGTGTAGACAGTAAGGTAATGACTGTTTATCCAGCACAAGGAGAAAACTTCACTTAACTGGGAGATTGACTGCCCAATGGGCATCAATCACACCAAGTATTCATCTCTCCTATCAACACCCTGCCACTTGGAAAGCACTTAGGCATTTTAAAACACAGACTGAGGGGAAAGGAGTGTTGACTCTCCATAGACTAAGACTCACTTTTTAGTCCATATAAGAAATGTGATCAAACAGAAGTTACTTGATCAAACAAGTATGAATTATGTATGCATCATTTGTGTATCTTGCATGAAAGAAAATATTTAATAAGAATGATAAAACCACATATCTTAAATACCCAACTCTATAGACTATGCTCAATAATCAAAATAAATTCTTTTCTTTTCATTACATTATTTAACCTCTTCACAGAAACTATTGTTTTTTATAAGACTGACATAGCATTCACACTATGTCATAGAAAGACGTTAGATATTAAGCTTATCAGAAAATAGCAGTGATTAAGAAAACAGCATATGGAAGTTATTTTAAATATACATTTTAAATATATGATTCTTAAAGAAATGTACATTTTTACAAATGTCATTGTTGTGTCATAAAAATTTATATTTCTGTCTCAGAATATGACTTCAAATTTGCATAAGTACATATTCCAAATTTGATGGTTTGGGAGTTCTAACATATGCTAGCTTCCATACAGCTATGAAAAATAACATATTTTAAGAAATAACTAGAAAAGCTTTTTGTATCACCCCTTAAAACCCACTTTTGATTAATATGGAGAACCAAATCAATGTAGAAAGTCTCACTTCAGGTGAGGGTTCTCTCTCTCTCTAATACACACACACACACCACACACACACGCACACACACCACGCGCACGCACGCACACACTGGAGTCTTAAAGCATTTATTTTTGTGCACAGCAACAGGTGAGAAAGGGTGTTTGGTGTGATGAGTGTGGCTCACAGGTCTCGCTGGCTTTGATAAAGAGGCTCCAGAATGACACTTGCATTCCAGCACACGCTATTTGTGGGTGGGGTTAAATTAGCACTTTTAACTCAGAACCCTTGAACTGAAAAAAAGACAACAGTAACTTTAAAATAAGTCCTTCATTAGTCAAAACGATAATATCACAACAGAGCAAAACATAAGTTGGCCTGGAGGTCTTGTGTCCACGGGTCAAAGCACCTACAACTCACTCCAAAGCCATTCCCACTAAAGACAAGCTCACAGTAAAACATACACAGTATACCAGAAAAGAAACTAGAAGTGCTGTGTGTACAGACAAATGCATACCTGGAGGAATGTTCTTCATACAAACAGATGTGTACCTGGAAGAGTGTTTTCATTCTGTTTTCTTGAGAGGCTCTCATGTAGCCTTGAGTGTGATCTTGGATTTTTGATCCTCGTGTTTCTACCACCCATGTACTGTGATTATACTCTTTGCCCACGACACCTACCAAGAATTTACTTTTGAACAACTACAGTAACTGAAGAATATATAAGAATTTTCAAATGGGTATTTATTCAATTCTCTAAAAAAAAGGAATTTATAAGAGGATGTGTTCCTTTAATTAGACTAAATAAAAAAGGCCTAAAGAAAGCAGATTTGAAGTAAGATGTCCAAATGAAGATTTTTTTTTTTCTTTTCTGAGACAGGGTTTCTCTGTATAGCCTTGGCTGTCCTGAGACTGGCTTTGTAGACCAAGCTGGCCTTTAGCTAATAGAGAACTGCCTGCTCCCCATTAAAGGGATTAAAGGCATGTGCTACCACTGCCTGGCTTAATGGAGATTTTATATGTGAAAATTTAAAGAAGAACTGATTGATATAGTAGAAAATATCACTAAGGAAACAACAGGGAACAGTTGTATGGTTCTCAGAATAATTGTGTTTCACTGAATGATGCTTGCGCTACACTTAATTTCCTGTTGCTCTCAGACTCAACAGGTAGTTTCTGCTCTTTACCTTCGTGGCCTCTTGATGACACTACATCAATCTCCCTCCTAGACATTTCTACGCATACTGACATATGAGTGTCTGTTCTTCTTATGACTTATACTCCTTCCCCATCTCTTTCCGCTTACTCCTCGGCATGCTCTCCTCTGTTTCCGTACACATGGGAATCCTTAGTGCTTGGTCTTAAAAGCTGCTCCCTCACCCTCCCTCTATCTGCATGCCTTCCTGAAGCAATGGGCTCATGCATCTCTTAACAGCTACATTCAGATGACCTTCGAGGACCTGACCCCAGGCTGACTGTTCCTCCCCTTTCCTACTTTTGTGTGGGGCCAAGGATCAAAGTCAGCACCTTGTACATTCTAGGCAACTGCTCACCTCTGAGCTATATCCGTATACCATGGCCATTCTCTCTGAGTTCTACAACCATATGTTTAAGTATCTGCTGCACACTTTTACTGTGATGCCTGAAAGAGATCTTTATTTAATGTTCCCATGCTGAGTGCCCAAGCTTTTATGCACAACTGACCCATTCCAACTTTAAGTTGTTTAATTTATCCAAACTTATAAGCTAGTGCTCTTGCTGTCCCCTCGCTATAGCTACCATTCTGTCAGTGAATCTTATTAATTTTAGCCCCCAAATGTCTCTTGAATCGATTCTCATTTTCTTTTCTTTAATGATCACCTTTCTCTGTCCCCTCTCTCCTCCCAACCCTGCTTCATTAGTTGGTAACTGGTCCTTACATCTTTCTCACATTATTGAAT